AAAAAACAGCCATAAACACTCAGAAGGCCACTTCATAATACTCAAGGGAAGAATCCACCAAGAAGACATAAACATTGTAAATATATGCACCTAACATAGGAGCACCCAAATACATAAAGAAAATCTTGGGGGACTTCAAGAAGGATATTGACAGCAACACAGTTATACTAGGGGATTTAACACCCCACTGTCAAAAATGCACAGATCTTTGAAACAAAATATCAACAAAGATATTGTGGCATTGAACAATGCCCTAGATGAAATGGACTTAACCGATAGATATAGAGCCTTTCATCCCAAACACGCTAGATATACATTCTTTCCAAATGCCCATGGAACATTTTCAAAGATAGACCACATGATAGGACACAAAACAAGCCTCAACAAATTCAAGAAAATTGAAATCATGTGAAGCTCCTGACCACAAGGAACTGAAACTAGAAACCAACCCCAAGGGAAAAAACCCAAAACACTCAAAATCATGGAGATTGAATAGCATGCTATTAAACAATGAGTGGGTCAAGAATGAGATTAGAACTTTTTTAGAACTTTGAGAAGAAATCAAAAAGTTTCTGGAAATAAACAAAAATGGATTTACAACAACCCAAAACTTATGGGACACAGCAAAGGCAGTCCTGAGAGGGAAGTTCATAGCAATACAGGCCTACCTAAAAAAGATAGTAACATTTCAAACAACCTAATCCTACACCCACAAGAATTCAAGGAACAACAACAAAGACAGCCCAGAGCAAGTAGAAGGAAGGAAATAACCAAGATTAGAGCAGAATTAAATGACATAGAGACTAAAAGCATAATTCTAAGGATCAATGAAACCAGGAGCTGGTTCCTTGAAAAGATAAACAAAACTGACAAGCCTTTAAGCAGGCTCATCAAGAAAAAAAGAGAGGACCCAAATAAACACAATCAGAAATGAGAGAGGAGAGATTACAACTGATACCACAGAAATACAAAGGATTGTAAGAAATTACTACAAAGAACTGTATGCCAAGAAATTTGAAAACCTAGGTGAAATGGACAAATTTCTAGAAAAATATAATCTTCCAAAACTCAATGAAGAAGCAGCAGAAAGCCTGAACAAATCAATAATAGCAGATGAAATGGAAGCAGTAATCAAAAAACTCCCAACACAGAAAAGCCCTGGACTGGATGGTTTCACAGGAGAATTCTACAAAACATTTAAGGAAGAGCTAACCCCTATCCTTCACAAACTATTCCAAAAAATTCAAAATGATGGAAGACTCACAAACTCTTTTTACAAAGCCAGCATCATCTTAATCCCAAAACCAGATAACGACACGACAAAGAAAGAAAACTTCAGGCCAATATCACTGCTGAACATAGATGCAAAAATCCTCAAATATTGGCAAACCACATCTAGCAACACATTAAAAAGATCATACACCATGATCAAGTGGGATTCATCCCACAGATACAAGGATGATACAATATTTGCAAATCAATTAATGTAATCCATCACATAAACAAAAGCAAAAACAAAAATCACATGATCATATCAATAGATGCAGAAAAAGCATTTGATAAGGTATAGCACCCATTTATGATAAAAACACTCAGCAAAGTAGGAATAGAGGGGGCATTCCTCAACATAATAAGGGCCATATATGAGAGACCTACAGCCAACATCATACTCAATGGGCAAAAACTAAAAGCTTTCCCACTAAGATTAGGAACAAGACAAGTTTGTCCACTTTCACCACTTCTATTCAACATAGTATTGGAAGTTTTAACCACAGCAATCAGACAAGAAAAGGAAATAAAAAGCATCCAATTGGAAAGGATGAAACAAAACTGTCATTGTTTGCAGATGACATGATAGTGTACATAGAAAATCCTATAGACTAGGCCAAAAAAATTGGTCGACCTAATAAATGAATTTGGCAAAACAGTGGGATACAAAGTCAACATCCAGAATCCAAAGGTATTTTTGTATACCAACAACAAAACATCAGAAGCAGAAACCAAGAAAAAAATCCCATTTGATATAGCAACAAGAAAAATAAAATACCTAGGAATAAACCTAACCAAGGAGGTAAAAGACCTATACTCGAAAACTGCTCAACATTGAAGAAAGAAATCAAGGAAGACACAAACAAATGGAGACATATACCATGTTCATGGATTGGAAGAATTAACATCATCAAAATGTCCATACTACCCAAAGCAATTTACACATTCAATGCAATACCTATTAAAGTACCAATGGCATATTTCACAGATATAGAACACACACTTCAAAAATTTATATGGAACCATAAATGACCCCGAATAGCTGCAGCAATTTTGAGAAAGAGGAGTAAAGTAGGAGGGATCACAATACCTGATACCAAACTGTATTACAAGGCTACTGTAATCAAAACAGCCTGGTACTGGCATAAAAACAGGCACATAGACCAATGGAACAGAACAGAGAGCCCAGAAATAAACCCAAGTTTCTACGGTCAATTAATATTTCAACAAAGGGGGCAGCAGCATAAAATGGAGTAAAAATAGCCTCTTCAACAAATGGTGTTGGGAGAACTGTACAGCTACATGCAAAAAAGTGAAACTCAAGCACCAACTTACACCATACACAAAAATAAATTCAAGGTGGATAAAAGATTTAAATATAAGCTGTGACACCATTAAAGTCCTAGAGGAGAACATAGGCAGGAAACTCTCAGATATTTCACGTAGCAGTATTTTCACTGATATGTCCCCTAGTGCAAGGGACATAAAGGAAAGAATAAACAAATGGGATCTCATCAAAATTAAAAGCTTCTGCATGACTAAGGAACACAGTAGTAAAATAAAGAGAACCAACCATGTGGGAAAACATATTTGCCAATGATACCTCAGACAAGGGTTTAATCTCCAAAATATATAAAGAACTCACATGACTCCACTCTGAAAAGACAAGCAACCCAATTAAAACATGGGCAAAGGATTTGAACAGATACTTCTCCAAAGAGGACATACAGAGAGGGTCCAGAGACACATGAAAAGATGCTCGATATTGCTAGCTATCAGAGAGATGCAAATTAAAACCACATTGAGATACCACCTCACAGCAGTCAGAATGGCTATCATAAAAAAAGCAACAAACAACAAGTGTTGGAGAGATTGTGGAGAAAGGGACACCCTGGTGCATTGTTGGTGGGATTACAGACTGGTACAACCACTATGGGAAAACAGTATGGAATTTCCTCAGAAAACTAAAAATGGACCTGCCTTCTGACTCAGCAATTCCACTGCTAGGATTCTATCCTAAGAACCCTGAAACACCAATCCAAAAGACCATATGCACCCCAGTATTCATAGCAGCACAATTTACAATATCCAAGTGCTGGAAGCAACCTAGGTGCCCATTAGTAAATGAATGGATAAAAAAACTATGGTACATCATCTCCACAATGGAATTCTACACAGCAGAGAGAAAGAAGGATCTCCTACCCTTTACAACAGCATGGATGGAACTGGAGAGCATTATGCTAAGTGAAATAAGCAGGCGGTGAAAGACAAATATTATATGATCTCACCTTTAACTGGAACATAATCAACAAAAGATAAAAGCAAACAAAATATAACCAGAGACAATGAAATTAAGAACAATCTAACAGTAGCCAGAGGGGAAGGGCAAGGGGACTGTGGGGAGGAGGGTTTTCAGGAACTACTATAGAGGACACATAGGCAAAACCAAGGGGGAGGGTGGAAGCAAGGGAGGGAGGTGGGTTTGGTTGGGCAGGGGGCGAGTGATGGGGAGAAAATGCAGACAAATATAATTGAATGACAATTTTTTTAAAATGTCAGAAAACTTCCCTAACTTGGTGAAGGAAATAGACATCCAAGTCCAAGAAGTGTAGAGCATCCCAAATAAAATGAACCCAAACAGGCCCACCAAGACACGTCAGAATAAAATGCCAGAAGTTAAAAACAAAGGGAGAATCTTAATAGCAATTAGTTACCTACAGGGGAGTGCACATAAGGCTATCAGCTGCTTTCTCAACAGAAACTTTGCAGTCTAGAAGGGATGCACAAGAAATATTTAAAGTGATGAAAAGCAAGGACCTACAACCAAGATTGCTGTACCTAACAAAGCTACCATTTAGAATCAAAGGACAAATTAAGAGTTTCTCAGAAAAGAAAAAGCTGAAGGAGTTCATCACCAAACCTGTATTATATGAAATGTTAAAAGGTCTTGAAGAAGGAGGAGGAGGTGGAAAGAGGGGAAAATATGAACAATAAAATGGCAATAAATACATGTGTATCAACTGAATCTAAAAAACAAAATAAAGGAACAAGTAGAACAGAAACAGACTCATGGGTACAGAGAACGTTTTGACAATTGTCAGATGGGAGGATGTTTGGAGGACTTGGTGAAAAATGTGAAGGGATTAAGAAGTACAAATCTATTGTTACAGAATAGTCATGGAGATATAAAGTGCAGCATAGGGAATATAGTCAATAATAGTCTAACAACATTGTATGGTGTCAGATGGTGCAAGATTTATCAGCATGACCACTTATTAAGTTATGTAATGTCTAATCACTGTGGTGTACACTTGAAACTTACATAATAATGTATTTGTAAGTAATTGAACAGTAACTGAAAATTTATAAAATGGTAAGTTTAAGGAAAACCCATCTCACAACTGCCTTGGAAACTCTTAAACAGAAGATTTATGTGTATAATTAGGTCTATGTGAAGTGAAGAACTGATATAAACTGATATAGTTTATATCATAAGTTTATTTTTCTTAAGCATAGCTTTATTTTTTGTACGTCCCAAAAGGTGACTTTATTAGATTCCTGGAAGCATCTTTTTTTTTTTTTAAAGAAAGAAATAAATGTTTAAGAAAACATTCTGATGATGCTAGTACTAATGGGTCCTTTTGGGGCACAGGATGCAAGCTTTTGTATTTTCTTAGCACTACTTCCAATCTTAATGTTCACACAGTTTTGAATTTTTTATTCTATTGTAGCTGAAGTTTACACTCAAGACCTACTTTCCTTACGCTTCTCCATCTCTTGTCACGGTGCTAATCCAACACCCAAAAGGTATGTAAAGATTGGTTCTGTCCATATTAAGATGAATTCTGGGAAAGAGCACTGCCAAATCATAACCCTTCTCTCCCAGTTCCTTAGTGTAAAACAAAGGAGATAGAAGTAGTTCTCTCCGGCATCTCTTTAAGCTCTCAGGGTCTCACATTCTGTGGATTTTGATATGTCAGCTTGCTTGATATCCTAGTTAGGATCATTTACCAAAAGAAGGAAAACAGAAAAAAAATGGCCTCTTGTTAAGTTTTGATAGTATGCTCTGGATACAAGTCCTCTGCTGCTAGCCAGATCCACCTAGATGCCAGGAACAGGCTAAGACTTGGCTGAGTTAGAATAAAACAGTACATTTATTTGTATTTCACTCTTTCTACTCCATGCCCCTTGTTGCAAAGGAAAAGATAAAAGGATGAATGAAGCCAAGGAAATGTAAGGGAAAGTTCTCCTAACCAAGTCAAGGAAGGCTTTTGAAAGAATTCCATAACTGTATTAGACCACAGCCTTTTTTGAGTCCATTTGCCAGCCTTCCATAGCCCATTACCAGTTGGGGAAATGATAGTTCCATCCTGAATTCAACTTAATTCAACGTGTTGATTGTTAACATGCCTATGAGGGAAGAACGCACTTTACTGACTGGGGAAGGTAAGAGGAAAGAGTGAAAGAACCAGTAATACTTCCTTTTTATGCCATTTTTTGCATGCCTTTTTCCTGAGACTAGGGTAAGTAGATTCATTTAAAGAAGTAGATGAATTGGTTTCACAGCATTTTATAAAACCTGAATTTCTCTTCCTTTTTTTAAAAAGACATAGGTTCTCATGTGAAGTGACCCATCTGACACTGTCTTCTAGGATACTAGAGACAGAGGTGGTGATGGGCCAGTGGGATCTCTGGCCAACAGTTCTGTGAAATTTAACCTGTGGAAACACAATGAGAAAACTTGAATAACAAGACAGAGAAGTCAGTAATTCACTTTCCAGGGCTACACCTCACAGCTTAAGTCAGATCACCATAACTTAAGGTCAGCCTGTGTGGCTCCAGAGAAGTATTGGACTTGTTATTTTTTAAGTTTGGAGATCTCTAAACAGAAGATTAGGTGGTGTGTGGTATATGGGCATGACCTCGGCCTACTTACCTTTCCTTGGTGTGATTATCCCAGACTTGTCACAGGATAAGTAAATTCACACAGGAGTACAAGAGCTTCCTATGCTAGTTTCTGAACAGTTTTCTGCATATTACTTTTAGAAAAAAACAATGTTATATTCACAAATTAAAGTGTTTTTAATAGAAGAATCTTCTATTCATCCGAAATTGATTTTGTGCCCACTGTAAAGTCCTATGGGGCATGAAAGATGAATCACTTATGAGCCCTGACTCCCTAGGAACTGTAAGTAGAGGGGACATAAAATAGGCATCTAAACAACCAATATAAAGAAGAAAATGAAAACGCCTTCAAAGGCTACAAATGAAGAGTTCTAGGGGTTCAGAGGAGGGAGGGGGAGACTGTCTGACCCTTTAATCTGTAACATTTGTGGAGTAGCAGTCATACTCTCACATTATTTTCCTCGTGGATACAATTATAGAATCTATCACTACATGCAAATATGGTAACCTTTTTCAGATGTTTAAAACAGCAGATACATACTCAAATGTGTTTAATTGTGAAACCAGAGAAATTAACTCAAGAAAGGGCATTTGTTTGTATGATACCCATGATTTTTTCACTAGCCTTTTCTTTACTATAAGCCTGTGATCACATTATAAATTCGTCACAAATCATAGAAAAACAGTTGGGCAGCCCACTCCTAGTTTCTTAGTGACTGTTTTATTAGTCTCCATGTATTTTAATGTCACAAATTGTTAGCAGTAGAGGAGGGGGTAGGTAGGTAGAAAAGGAAAAACCTGGGCATCTGCAGCATAGCATTTCTGAATCACAGGGTGGGCTCCTCATGCAGTCTCTGCTGACTCCACATACCTGAGTTTAGCCCCTGAAGTTGGCCTTGTGTAACACTCACAGTGTTTCTTCCCAGGCCTGAGTGATGGGTGCTGGCGGAGCTCCACTGACCAGGAAAAAAGAATGGCTTTTCCCTTAAACTCTTCCAGCCTTAGCTGCAGGTGGTTACTACCTAATAGGTTTGACATTTCTTCAGTTCTCTTCTGCTCTCTTTTCACCCACAGATATCCCACAGGGACTGTGGCACCAGCCACTGAAACGTATTTCTGAAATGCTCAGAGAAGTAGTGGAAGACCAGACTCCCAGGTAAGCAAACCCTAATGACTCCTAGGAGTGCTTCCCACATGGTTTCTCTGGACCCTTGTCTTCGCTTTAGCAGGGCTGATGGAAGGGCATTGTTGGTCTGTGACCATTCCCTCACAGCTAAGCACACTGCTGAGTGAGAAGTAGAGGAAGCACAGAGCTGCTTGGACCACTTTGTGCTTCTCAGAATAAATAGGCATGCATATGTGAATACCTTGTATAGTATTAGATTTTGAAATATACAAGCATAATAATAAAAAGAACAGATCCTGAAAAAAAGCGGTGCCCACATGCTATGAACTCCTGGGCATGCAGGAGAGGAATGCCTGTCTGCTCCTTGTCTTCTCTCTGCCTCTCTACGGGAGGAAATTCTAAACTGCTCCTATATAGTGGGATACAATGTTTCTTTTTCCTCCTCTTTGTCATAAATACTTATCTAAAATTTAAAAATGCTATTATGATATTAACATTATGATATCCAGTACCTTCTTATGTGGCTGATTTTCCTGGAAGTATTCACATTTAGGCTTTGTTAAGTTCTTTGTAACATAACTGACTTCAGCTTCCTCTTAAATTTCTTGCTTTTAGAATATATTTTATTCATTTTCTATGCTAGCCTAGAAGACTGTCTGTGTTTGTTCCACCTGCCAGTTTTTCCTCCTGGAATTCTCGGTACTCTCATCTCAGAGCCGCCACAGATTAGAGGTGGTACTCTGTGTTCGTGGTCACTCCTGGAGTGCCAGGTCCTTCCTCCTCCCCTCCACAGGCCTCTCACCAATGGAAGAGACAAAAAGAACTGGTAGCCAAGTAGGGATCAGCGTGCTGGCCAAATCAATTGACCTGCCACACTGGCAGTCCTGCTTGTACCCTTTCTGGCTTCCTCTATTGAAGCATGGAACCTTGATTCCCAAGCCCCATGAGAATCCTACCTAACCTAGATCTGCCTTAACTAGGCTTTGGGGTCCATCTGTAGGGAGGAGTCTGTGGGCAGGTTTTGGCACTTTATCAGACAGCTACATGGGACTGCCTCGACACTCAGTTACTGGTAGGAAAGAGGGAGAATGACCAGAGCCAACCCTGCATTGCAGATCTTGAACCCTGATATAAGCATAATGCCCACCTGGGAGCAGGGTGCACTAGAGGCCCTCTGCTCAGCTTACCGTCCATGAGGGCTGCGGGGAGGAGACCCTCTGGAGCCTCTTCCTTGCTTTTGCGATGTCATGACCCAGCCCACCACTAACATGACCCAAGTAACATCGACTCGCCCTCTTGTGGGAAACAGTAAGACTGCCCTTCCTTCCATTTCTCTTCATTGTCTTGCAAGCTAAATTTCAGAACATTTCATCAGTTATTCTCAGTGAGAACTTGGACAGGAGGAAAGCCATAACCAGGGGAGGCAAGGGCAGTGCTTGGAACTTTCGTGGGTCAAGCAGAGGAATATGGACCCTGATCCACCAAAGACAGAGCACTGCAGAGTGTCCTGGAGCTCTCCTGTCCCAGGGGCGTCCTCAGTTCAGAAGGAAAGTTCTGATCTTAAGTGATCTCAGGACAGTCCTGATCCATTTTTTTTCCAGGGGAGATGTTAAACTACTATCACTGCCATGTAAAGTTGATGGGTCTTCACCTTGAGCAATGGTTTAAACAACCATTGCAACTCCCAGTTTTCAGTGTGACAAAAGGATAGCTTCACAAAGACTATACATGATGACAGAAAAGAATACAATATACAGTCCATTAAAAATCTGTAATTGCCAAAATACCAACCAGAACCTTGTGCTTTGTCAGAAAGGGCACAGCACATGTTTCTGCCTGTGCCCCTTCTGGGGTCTGCATTTGGACCCTGAGGACCCTCCTCCCTTCTTGCCCTGGAGCACCTGCATGGCTCCTGTGGCTGGGAGGCCCCGCTCTGCACAGCAGCCCAGGTCTGCAGGCCGGAGGCAGAGAGGCGCCCCCGCAGCTTCTCATCCTGCATCATTCCTGCTGGTCATGGGCCAACATCTTCCTTTCTCAAAGGTCTGCAGCCACTCAAGTTCCTGAATATGAAGATTTAAATGTCTGAGTTCTCGGGGCACTGAGGTTTGGAGAGGTATGCCTTTGAAGGTTTTATGATGAGTTCAGAGTGGCATTGTGAGCTATTTTTCTGAGTCTAACTTGTATTCCTTGCAAGTTGTACTTCAGTGGGTAAGAATAATTTAAGCCAACCATTCACAGACATTGCAGTTGCTTTAAGAACCAAAAGCAAAAAAATCAAGTTGCCTGGCTGCCATGTGTTTTGGTTCTGTTCCAGGTCCTCCAGAGGCCCCTTTGAGAGCTGGTTTTTGTTCATTCACTTTGGAGGATGGGCAGAGATGGTGGCTGAGCAGCTACTGATGTCAGAAGCTGAACCCCCTGAGGCCTTGCTGTGGCTCTTGGCATTCAGCTACAGCCCATGTGATGGGAGTCAGCGGAGAGCACAGACCATGGTGAGTGGCAGTATGCAGTGTGTATGGCGCTCAGGGTCAGTCTGTCCTGAGCTGAAAAGAGAAACAGGACCTATGGGAAATGGGATCTGTGGTGGGTTTGGCTTTCACTAATGCCCCAGATACTTAAGCATTGAGTGCTCTCAGTTCCTTATGGTAGCGAGTAAGTGTCACCTGCATGAGTGATTGTGTACTGGGCTTGTAGGAGATGTTTCCTGGTGTTCACAGAGTTGACCAGAGACCAGATGCTGCCACTCTGCTCTCCTGGAAAGCACTGAGGAGGTGAGGTGCAGCCCTTCTGTCCCCAGGTCATTTTCTCTGCTCTTGCTCAGTTTTCCTGGCTGCCCTCATTTATAGCCATGCCTGGCCCTCGGGACGCCATGCAGAGTCCTGACCACCCTCCCGAGGAGCTCTGTCTTCTGAGCAAGGGCTGGGCTGAGTCTGCTTCCGTCCAGACTTACTGTTTTCTTGGATCAGTCAGCAGGTCCTCACATTACTGGCTTTGTTTAGAATTCTTACTAAAGTAATCACATGATATTAACCACTTTGCTTCTGAAAAAGGACTTGGTCATTTCCTAAATAACAGAGCAGCTAAATACAGGCCTGGCTAACTGTCTGTGGCAGAGATGGTTGTTATTTTATGTAGAATGTAATAATTACAGGAAGCAATGTTCTGATTAAAGGCATTGGCACCTCCCTTGCAAACATTTATTTGTTGGTTTTTAAAACTTCAATTGCCAGGACTTTTCATTGATTTTAATAATTAAAAAGAACAGCATGCCTGTTTGCTTGGTGTTCTCTGTTGATTGAGAAAAGCAGAGACCAGCAAAGATATGTCTGTATTTTACTTCAGTAAAGGCTTGCATGGCACTGGAAAGAACACTTTGGGGTTTTACAGAGTTGAAATTTGGTGATAATACATTTTGGATCAAAAGTAGAACACTATTTAGAAATTAACACAATCCACATATGTATTTGAGGCTATCTGATTGAAAAGAAAACCTATTTCTTCCCTCTTAAAATATCACATTAAGGAAAATTTTATTTATGTTTTCATCATCTAATTTTCATAATAATTAAAATGTATGAAGCTGTACTGACTTCTAAAGTCCCTTATATGTATTTGTAAATATTTTATTCTGTATAAGTTAAGTTGGTAGCTTATTGTTAAGTTCCATATCGATCATAGAAACTGACAAAGATTCACTTTTGAAGTGTAGAGAGATAATCTGTCTAGTAAGATTTAATTTCTACAAAGTTCTGCATTGGCATATCTTTCTACTTATTAATTCATCCTTTCTTTAATAAAATCTACACAAAATCCTTATTCTGCATATGCTCTGTCATCCTGGATAACAGTGGACTCATAATCTTTAAACCTGTTGATCCATTCCTAGGAATTACTCTGAGGAATTAGAGATCTATACAAATATTTATGTACAAGAATATCATCACAGCATTGTTTTGTAATTGCAAGCATTGAAAATGGCCTAAACTTTCAATAATAGGGATATTGGATAAATATTGTGGTATAGTCCAGCTATGAAATAGCGTTCTACCATGAAAACTTATGTTCTTAAAGAATATGTTCTAAAGATACTATAATTACTTAAAGTGCATTGTGAAGAGAAAACTCTAAGATACAAAATGCTGTGTGCAGTGAGTTCTGTGTTCACAATGCACAGAGAAAGGACAGAAAGGCTGCTAAGCCTAGTTTTTAACAAGTCTCTTTGGATGGTAGAGTTATAGGTCATTTTAATTTTTTTCTTTTCACTTTTTTGTTTAGATTTTCTACAGTGAGCATTTATAAATTTTTATAATACAAAATAAAAAGTAATACTTAGGAAAGAAAGTATCTTCTGAAAAAATTAGAAAGCATTTAGTTATTGGCATGTTAGTAAGGCATTTGAAGGGAATGACAGTCTTGGATGAAATAAAGAGGAAGGAGATCGAGTCTTAGAGAATACTGGACTAGAAGAGAATGGATATGAAGGCATAGCTTCCTAGGTCCACTTAGATGGCCTCTGTGTGCTCCCATAGATGCCATCAGATGAGGGCTGGCTGGGCCAGCCAGCAGAGTGGTGGGGAAAGTGGTCCTCTCCTGTTGGGACACTGCCACTCTCCATGGAAGAGCCCCATGGTGCAGTTTCTCACGGTCTTGTACCCCCAGAACAACTCACACAGCAGTCCTAGTGTACTGGGTCTGTGACTGACTTCATTGAAGGAGGCTTTAACACCCACAAAAAAAGGCTCACACAAAATCCGTAAAATTGGTCATGGGAATTCTCAGAATAGGCCTATGTATTCTTTTGAAAATGATGGAACATTGCTGTTCATGAGTTCCATGTAGCATTCTGGACCTGTGGCTTTCAGTTCTTGCTTTGTTTTCCAAGTCATAAATGATGTACCATTCTTACAGCAAGCAGAAGTCTCAGCATGAAATAAATATTTTTAATGCAAAAACAACCACAGACCTATAACAATCACCATTATTGTGTGGATTTCAAAGACTTGTGACCTCTACTTGAGCTTTAAACATGTATGAACAGACTATCCCAGTGTCTAAAACAAAGCAAGTGTATGTGTGTGTATGTGTCCATCCTTCTCCCCACAACCCCACCCGTGCCCGAAGATAGCAAAAGGAAAACCTCATGCTTATCAGAACACTGGCTCAGCGGAGGTCTGATAGCATGGGGCTTTCATTGATTTGTGGCTGTGATAGTGAGTGGCTTCAATGAGCCTTTTGTTCTTTTTCCCACAATATAAAAATCTGACTACATTCTGCTGAGGACTTTTCTCCACTTCCTTTCATACAAGAAAAGGTCAATTCCTGGCATAGTGCCCTAGCTGCTTAGTGAGCAAGACGAAAGAAAGTCAAGAAATTTCTATCACACCCATTTGGGTTTGTGTGGAGCACTGTGGAAGCCCACAGGTGGGCTACCTCGGTCTGCCCTTCCTGGGCGCTGGTCCTCTCTTCCTTTGGAGAGTTGCTTCGAAGTACCGAATAAATCCCAGAACTATGTGTGTCCCGACTCTTCCCTAATCTCTCACTTTTGAAATTACATTCCCCAGGAAGAGGTGAAAGTGGTGCTCGGCCACCTCATGAAGCTGCTCAGAAGTCCGACCCTCTCAGCCAGGGATCTGCAGGCAGCCACTGGAGAGAGCCAAGGTGGAAACCCCAGGCCACCTGCCTGCAGACGGCTCATCAGGCACCTTCTCCTGAACTTCATACTCTGGGCTCCTGGAGGCCACGCAGTTGCCTGGGAAGTCATCAGCCTCGTAAGTGTCCCCTTTCTTAGCATCCTAGTTTTCATTCACATGTCACCCAAGGACCCGGCCTTTGAAGAGTATGTGTACCAGGATGCTTGTCCAAACCTGGACACACAGACAGCAAGGTAGACAGCTGGGACGGACCCCAGAACCTGCCCCGTGCAACACCTTCATGTCACAGAAGAGAAAATGGAGGCTCAGAAATAGGCTGTGACTTCTCCCGGGTCACACGGCTTGCTCCCAGAGCACATAGGAACAGCTAGGTTTCCTGTCTCCCCAGGTACTCTTCTTTCAGCTCAGTGCATGACTTGCTTCCTCCTCATGAAGAGAAGCAAGGCCACAGTGAGAGTGTGTTCACTGCAGTGGTTCAGATTGTAATCGTAATTAACAATTTTATTTGTTAATTACAAAAAAAATCCTTCTGGAAGCCCAGCTGACATGAGGGGTAAAGAACAGTTCATGATATTAAATTTGACAGTGATTTCTTGGGTGATAACACTTAAAAGCATAGACAACAAAAGAAAAAATAGATAAATTGAAGTTAATCAAAATTAAAAACTGTGTGCATCAAAGAACTCAATCAAAAGTGTGAAAAGACAATTCACAGAATGGAAGAAAATGTTTGGAAATCGTATATCAGATAAGGGTTTGGTATCTAAACTATATTGGGAATTCTTATAAGCCAACGACAGAAAAACAACCCAACTGAAAAACAGGCAATGGATTTGAACAGACATTTCTCCAAAGATGTGCAAATGTCCAATAAGCACATGAAAAAGTGCTCACCATGATTAGCTGTTAGGAAAATGCAAATCAAAACCACAATGAGGTACCACTCCACACCCACTAGGATGCTATTACAAACATAGTCCAAAGATGGAAACAACCCAAATGTCCATCAACAGGTGAATGGATAAACAAAATGTGGTGTATGCCAGTCACAAAAGACAAACATTGTCTGATTCCACTTATATGAGGTACCCAGAACAGGCAAACTCGTAGAGACAAAAAGTAAAATAGGGATTATCCAGGGACTGGGAGGCAAGAGTTGTGCATATTTCTAAAAGTACATAATGGAACCACTGTGTTAGATGTGATGGGGAAGGATGGGGAGTTAGCTTTTCATGAGCACACAGTTCCTGCTTGGGAAGATGAATAGTGGTGGTGACGGATGGTGGGGATGGTTGCCCAGCACTGTAAGTGTGCTTCATGCCACTGAGTTTTACATGTTTAAATGGTTAAAATAGCAAATTTTATGTTTATTTTTACTATGATAAAAAATGCTCATCTCAGAAAAAAGTACCAACATGCTGGCTCTTGGAATTTTGTTTTATTCCTATGTTTGTTTTTACTTTTTATTGCCCTATAATATACATAATTAAATGTATAGCTCAGTGAATCTTCCCAACCCAAAACACACGTACAACCAACAATCAAATCAAGAAAGGAATGTTCCAGCACCCAGAGGCCCCTCTGGCTCCCTTCTAGGGAAGGCTCTGTTTGAGTGTGAATGTGTGCATGGGGAAAGTCACAGTGACAGATGGGCTGCTGAGAACCCCAGGGACCAGCACCTTGAAGGTTCTCCTTAGTCCTTGTTAAATGGTCTGTGTGGAGTGGGCAGGCCCACCTCTCGCATGCTCAAAGAGAAGCCATACAAGGGCCTGGGCATTGCCAAGAGTAGAAGAGGACTTGCTTGTCATGTGTGGGGCGTCATCTCCTCAGGGGCTACTCTAACCATGATCTATTGTGTACTTTGATAAAATGCTCACCTCACTTCCACATCCAGCGGTAAGAGCTAAAGAATGCCCACATGTCTGTAGAGCCTGGTACCAACCACCTTTGTCTCTGCCAGGCATGTGAGGTAATAGTCACTGATCAGTCACTCCCACAGCCAGGTGATCAAGGTCAACATCAACAGGGTGAGTTGTATTGGCTGTGTGAACCCTCGATATGACCCAGACTAATCCTTAGAAAAATGATGGACAAATGACAATTAAGGGACGTTCGTCAAAATACCTAACCGATGCTCCTCAAATCTGTCCAGATCATCAAAAACAAGGAAAGTCTGAGAACCTAAGGAAACATGATGACTGAATATAATGTGGTACCTTGGATGGGATCCTGGAACAAAAGAAGGACATTAGGAAAAAACAGGGAATCTAAATAAAGTATGAATTTTAGTTAATAAAAATGTATCAGTTTTGGTCGTTAATTCTGAAAAATGTACTGCACTAATGTAAGATGTTAATAACTTGACAAGTGGATGCGTGGGATGTGCGATCCCTCTGTATTATCTTTCAGTAAAATTATAAATCTAAAACCTTCAAAATTAGGTAATTTTAAAAAGTCAACAACAGGCACTTTTAAATCATGAAAGTGTTGGCAGCATTTTTGTCACCTGACCTCTGACCCCCAACCCATGCCCTGGGTACCTGTTGGAGCCTGGCCCTCCTTCTCCCTGGGGGCTTCCATCCACTCCTCTCTGGGACTGTCACCTGGGAGTGGAAAGGCAGGCCCTGCCCATGGGGTGTGGGAGAGCATGACCCAAAGAAAGCCCCTCAGAGACACCCCAGTCTCTGCTTCAGTTAGTCCAACACACATTCCCATCCATTCTAGGCTAACAGTCCCCATTCAGAATGGACTGTCCTCAGGTCTCACCCACAAAGAAGCTGCTATGAATAAGGAGCTAGGTCCTGTCACAGAGTTCAGGTGTGCTGCATGTGCCAGGAGGCCCATCTCCACAGAACTGTTCAGACCTAGCCGTGTATTAATACCTCAGGCCAGGGGAACACTGAAAACCCCGGTGCATCATCATTAGGTTTTGTCAGTCAGCTCAGCTGGAAAAAAAAATCATTGACAGATAAAATGCTAGTGTTTCTCTTCACACAGTGGCTTCTTAGCAGGTGGGTGGTCACCATACCCAAGGTGCCCCTCCAAGCCAAGTAGCTTCCTGGGCCCTGTCTTTGCACATATTCTGAAACAGTTTTTACTGACACACCAGCCTTCCCAACTCAAGGCTTCCTGCAGTGGCCACCGACAGGCTGATGGCAGCCTGGCTAAAGCTACTGCTAATAGGACAGACGGAGGAATCATCAGCGCATTGCCAGCCTTGCGTGGGCTTCTCCTCACCTTCCATATCTCGTCTGCTCCTCCCTCTCTGGCACCCTGGAAAGAGTCCTGAGCCAGGTCTGCTTGGCCTGGGTAGTGGCCAGATGGTGGAAGTATTGGCTTTGGTGGCCTTTCCCTGTCGGCAGCTCTGGCTTCACCAACCTGGGGACCCAGGCCCTGGCCCAGCTCTGATGTGAACTGAGGCTCAAGCAGAGCCAGCTGAGTCCTGGGTCCTGGTCTTGCCCCTCTTGTCTCAGCATCAGCTTTGGACAGCATGCATACTCCAGACCCGGACATGAACAGCAGGGCTGTGTGTCTGAACCCTGTTTCTTCGAAGCCTTCTTTCCATACCTTCTCCAAGGGGTCACTGCCTTACCGAAGGGCTCCATTTCATTAAAGGTGTCCTATCCCTCCATCTCCTCCTTTCTCTTACGCCCAAGCCTCTCCTACAGAGTGCTCCCAGCCTACTGCTTCCTCTGGCTTCTCTCAGAGGCCCCATGCATCAGTTTCTTCCAGTCTTGAGCTTCTGAGAGTTTCCTCAAACTCATTCATCAGAACCCTCATGCCTTCAACCCCATGTTCTGCTCCTCCGCTCACTCTCCTCTGCTCCGCCGCCTGCTCAGGATGATGCAAGAGCAGGCTGGATTTCTCCGGGCCCTGGGGCTCATCTCTTGCCTCCTGTCCTGCTCTGACTTCATGTTTCTCTCTCCCTCTCCTCTGTCCTTGGTTGCTGGACCACAAAAATAGCAGCCAAAAGTTAGCTAGAATCTGAAATAGGGAGTTCAGTTCTGTAGTGGCTGAACTCAAAATGAATTTAATCCTTTTGCTGATGTGCCTCAGCCAAGCCCTACCAGGGTGCAAGTTTCTGACCTCAGCTGCAGGGAGGTGGGCTGTTGTCTGTGACTAGAGACCTTGAATAGAACAGGGTTGGATTGAATTGGCTTGTAAAGAAGACACATGGTTAGAATGGTACCACCGCATTCATCTGTGACAGCCACACCACCCTGCTTCCCTGTCCCTGGGCTGGAGGAGTTCCTGGGATCGCTGGGCAGTGCAGCAGGAGGTGGTCTTCCCTCCTCAGGTTCTAGGTAGTAGGTGAACTCTTCCACAGCTACCCTGGGGAACCTTACAGTGTTCCATCCACAAAGAACAGAGGCTGCATCTGTGGAAAGTCATCTACGGCATTTGTGACATCTGAGTAAAAACCAGGTAATGCTAATAGATATACCAAGAGCCACAGTGAACCCCACCTGCACTGCAGCCTGCGCCTCACCCTCCAGCAGAGCCTCAGAGTTGGAGATGGCTGACACTGTGGAGATGTGCCCCCTGCCTCCTGCGCTGTGCTCACCCAGCACACATGCTGCCAGAGTGTCTGCCTTGACTGAGGATTGTCAGAGTGGGCTTCCTGGGCCGTGGCGTGGTACCTGGTGAACCAGGCTGCTCACCCTACCAAAAGGGCCCCATGTGGAGATGGAGAAAAAGCTGTCCCTTGGCTGCTTTTGCTACTTACACATTTGGTTAAGGATTCAATATAAACTGATACCCACAAATAGGTAGCTTACTCTAAAAAAATGGACAACTTAATGACACTTGCATCAAAAAAAAAAACAACAATAAATTCTTCATGCAGCTAAATTGTGAGGTTCTTACCCTTCCCTTTCTGCTGAACTGAAATTCGTAGGAAAATATTGATGGGCACCAACAACCAGAATCCCTTTAGGCTGTATTTAGCAGAACAAACAATCCCTGTTTCCTGCTTTCCTTGAGAATCAGGTGTTAAAATTTTAGATGCCTTTAAAAAACAAGTGTCCCGGGTTGCTGGCCCAAGAATGCCATTTATAAAGCGGTTTGTGTGAAAACAGGTGGCATGTTCCTTTCAGCATTTTCCAGTTGTCATATTAGTGTGAGCCTTTTGCAGAAAGTCAGGCTCCAGCACATCCATTTGCCTTTGCTCCCCCAGTAAGAAATCCCAAAGCTTGTGACTGGCATTCCAGGAAATGAGGTGCTTGCTTGTAGCCATTCTGTCAGGAGAGAGGGAGGTCCTTAGGAAATGCCTCTGCTCAGTGGATGGCCAGCCTCTGAGAACAGACTTTCTTGCCAGTCACCTTGAAAACAAAACAAGAGCCCTCTGGAGGTGAGAGGAATGCAGCTGCTTTTCTGGGACAGGATGGTTACGATTGATGCTGGACAAAGAGACGGTTCTGCCTGGAAAGTGTTTTAATTTGGCTTCTCTGTCATTGCAGATGGCTCAGACCGATGAGATGACCCATGAGATTATCAGCTTTCTTGACCAGACCTTGTACAGATGGGATCATCTTTGCATGGAAGCCCCAGCATCAAGGAAACTGGCCAGAGAGCTCCTTACGGAGCTGCTTGTGAGAGTTGAGCACAGGCCTGTTGGCCATGTAGCTGCCATACAGCCTGGGCTCACTGGGGCCACAGGCTGAAATGATGGGCCTGCTTCTTTGTGGAATGGGTACCCTCTGTGAGTAGTGACAATAAGCCATAAATATCTTGGCAAGTTCTGGTGGTGCCTATTTTACAAAGTGAGAAAACAGGTACTTTAGCTCACAGTCAGGCTACTGACTGGATTTTACGCCTTCAACCTTCTCTCTACCTACTCAGCCTGGGTGTCAATTAGAGAATCATGGGAGAAAAGGCTCAGATGGGAGAACAGATTTTTCCTTCTTTTTTTCCCCTTACTGAACCAAGATGCATGACTGTTATTTGAATGTTTCAAAGTCTTTGGACCCAGAAATTGGTCATGAGCCACTGGTCAGTTTAGAAAGTAACTTAGCCCTTTTCCACAGATCTGTTTTTTAGATGTCAGGTCATTGGTATTGGTGTTTCTTTTAATCCATAGGGATTTAAGATCAAGCCACACTTTCTTGCTTTCCTAAGAAATTGTTCCGAAAGGAGAGTTTCCCTTGGGCAGCCCCTGAGCAAGCTGGGGAAGGAAGCAAGCAGCAGTGCAGGGACCAGTGGTCAGCGGGGCACGGGTGCCAATGCGGCCGTGGAGCCAGCACTGCCTGGGAGTGGAGCCAGGGCTGGGGCTGCCTCTCTGCTTTCGTTTGCTGAACACTGGCTGCTACTGAAGGAGCGCACACTGCCTCGGAGGTGGCTGAAGGGGATCTAGGCCATATTCTAGAAACATTAGAAAACATTATGTATCAATCGTTTTGTTAAGTGAAATGGAAGTGCACATTTCTAATAAATAATCGGTAACCCCAAGGTTAATATTTACTTTGCATCAGTTGAAGATACTTTTTCCTTCTGAGGCTTATGCTTAACTTATATTGATTGTTTTCTCTTTTCTGTTTACTGTTTGTCATGCAAGACGTTCTTTTATGCCCACTTGGATTTATGTGTTAGTAATCGCTGAGTCTCCCTCAGTCTTGGCTCCTGCTTGAGGTATGAGTCAAGTTTTGTTGGATTAGACAGAGGTCGAGCTTTGAGGTTAAATGCTTGTTTCAGTATATGGATCTACCTGAAGAGTTGGAAAATTCCAGTAACTTTTGACCTGAGCCTTCCTTTGACAAGTGGCACAACACAAAAGGTGTGCTGTTAAAATACTTTTCTCACAACTGCCGTCATCCTCATCACTTCCACATGCTGCGATCAGCCTCTGTGGACGGAAGAAGGGAGCCCGGTGTGGTGGGAACGAGGAAGCCCCAAAGCACGCGCCCACCAGGAGCGGGCCTCCCTTTGGGGTGTGCTTGCTCGTGGACATCCATTCACACTGTATTCATGGCAAACAAAAAAACCAAGATGAATATCTACCTCAGATTTTGAAGGTGTATTTATGGAAGATTCTTTTCTGTCTTGACTATACCTCAGCCCTTTCTTAGTATCTCTCAATTTCTGTACAAAGCCTGAGTTCTCCCAAGCCTTGGACATTTGAGTTGGCAACTGAGCAGACTGTCTGAGCTGGCAAAACCGAAGCTTCTCCCAGGGAGATCCCAGCACACCTGCAGCTCCTTTGTTTGAGTGAAGAACACCCACAAAGACTTTAATTGAGGACATAACAGGCACTGATTTGTTTACTAATTTTATTTTCTCCCCTTGCCCTCTCCCACCTTGATAAAGGTGCTCACAAGGGGAGGAAACAGAGGGTGGCAGCATGGGCGGGGCTGCTCCCCAAAGCCTAGGAGCGGCTGGGAAGCTTCAACGGCCACATGCTCCTGCTCCGCCTTTAGAAGGGTCACCCATTCCACTCAGTTCCAGGAGGGTGAGGCGCCTCCCACAGCCCAGATAGAGGTGAGTGCACAGTGGAAGGGTGGGAAGTCACACCCTCCCCTCGAAAACCAGACCAGACAGATACCTGCACATCCTAGCCAATCAGGGCAGGGAAAGACAGGCAGGCTGGGGAGTATTCAGTAAACTCTACCTCGTCCTCTGGAAGCTGCCTTGGATTTTGGGGAAAGTCTGCATATGTGGCTTTTTTTTGAAAGAAGTTCAAAGTAGGGGTCCAGCTAAAAATGGACTCTGATGAAAATACACAGGGAAGTCCCTTGAAGGACACTAAGCCTTCAGTGGAGAGCCAAGAGCACTGAGGCCTGAGGAGCGGGCCCAGCGGCAAGGCTGAGGCTGGAGGCTCTACGGTGGCCATAGAGTGGGGGCTCCGGGTGGGCTTCTTCCCCAGTCTGTGCCAGGCACATGCCCGCCACTCTGACCAGCAGAACATCCGATGGAGAGCAGCTTCTACAAGGAAGACACTTGATGGCCTCAGACCTGGAAACCCAGAGGACTGGCTGATCCAGCCACTCAGTGTCACGGCTAAGTTCTCCCAGTTTTCCTCTCTAGTTGCATGAAGGCTGCCAAGGCCAGCCCTTGCTGACAACATTCAAGAAGGAAAGGGACAGCTATCTCCCCTGTGTTTCCCACCAACCACACCAGACCTGCCCTTGCACCCTGGGCAGAGCAGGGCCACAGGAGAATGGGGAACTCGGCCACCCTGATGGGCTGAGACCAAGGGCAGGCCCATCAGGACATTAATGAGGCTGGATCTGCCTGACCTTTCACTTCCAGGCCCCTTCCAAGGCCCTGGGAGGCCTCCGACCCTATTCGTTTCTGTAAAATTTGTAGAGAGTAAAATTTTAATTGCAACCAGCAAAGATAAGTCTCTGTGCACGCCTACCTGTTGAGCATCTCAGGGGCGGCCCTGAGCACTTCTGGGGTCCGGCTGAGGGGCCCTGAGTGGGCACTGCAGTGTGCAGTTGAGGCGCGGTGCTCCCCGCAGGGCAGGAGTGGCGTCCAGGGACGATAGCACCGCTCCGTCCGCAGTGGCTCAGCTGGCCTGGGACACAGGTGCAGGCTCGGGCAATGTCACCACCAAAGTGTAGCCTGTGCCACCTGAGGTACATGGGTGCCCAGGAGAAATGAGGGCAAGAGAGGGGAGCCCTTTAAAGTGCTGCAGTTTGGGCCTGAGGTGCACATGACAAAGTTTGACGTCACCGATAGGAGCTGTGAAGCTGAGAGAAAATTATCGAGTCTTAATAATGAAGTTTTTTAGAGAGCATGCTGGAGAAAGGACTGAATTATCTTTGTCTTTTCTCTATAGAAAATAAGTAAAATTATTCTAAGAAGAGGTAATCAAAGGTGACAGAGTCAAAAACTATAGGGAGAAAAGGCATTATTGAGCACCCACTGACATGGGGCTACATATGCATTGGGACTTGGTGACATTTGTGGGGTTGGTAGCACTAGAAGCTTGAGGCTGTGGCCCCTAAAAACACAGATAGAGTTTATCCTCTGGGCCTGGGAATCTTCTCCCGCAACACCTACAACCCAGGGTTCTGATGCCAAGGAAGAAGGGAGCAGCAGGGGCCTGTTAAAGCAAACGAAGCACATCACACACATGCTTATTTTTTTTTCCAGGACCCTGAGTTAAATGTCACCACTTGGTGTAAACGAAAGTGTTCTGGACGCCCTCCTTCCCCATCTCTGAAGACAGAGCTTGTCCCATAAGCACAGCCCACACTGTCTTGGTCACTGCTGGTTCCCAGACTGCTGGCCCGTGCGCTCCAGCCTGGGGTCTTGAGAGATGGCCTGGACCTGGCTCCATTCGGTGGCATGCACTTCACTGTGGCTGCTCCCCAGGTCCTGGGCAGCCCTGATTTACTGAGGCCAGACTGTACTGGGCTTTCTGAAAGGTCACTCTCTTCCTGACATGAGCCCCGGGGTGCCTCTCACCACATGCAGAAGGTGTCCAAGAGTGCAGATGGCAGGTGGACATGCCTTGTTTCTGGGGAGCCCCTTGCCTGGGAGGTTCCAGGGGCTGGTTCTGTTTGGCCCCATTTCTCACTGGAGGGGCAAGGGTGTTGGGAAAAGATGGGAAAACGTCAAGGGGACAGGAGAAAGCCGAATTTTCTGTTGAATGGAGGTGTGGAGAACAGGGACTTGCCAGGAGGGAGGCAGAGAAGATGCAGCCCCAGCAGTGGGCAGGGAGGGCGCGCGTGGAAACTCAGACCTGAGCCTGTCCCATTCCCCAAGGGGCGAGGCACGCCGGGGTGTGTGCAGCAAGAGGAGCGTGCGGTATGTTCTTTCTTCGACAAGGAATCCAAATCGATTTTGTTTTCCAAGGAAGAAGAGAAATGCACATTAACTGTGCTGTTCTCCTTGTTTTTCTTTTTTCCCTCTTTCATCCTATAGTGCCCTTATCCATTGCCAGAAGTACTGCTGATAAATGGTCTGCTTTCCCTTGCCTGACATTGGGTGCAACATGGATTCCACCGGCTCTGTCAAACAGTTCTCTGTCACTAAACATCATCACAGTTTCCCTCCTAAATAACTAAAATTAAGGCAAAAATAATGTGTCTTAAAGTCTTCTTCTAAACTCAAGCTCTATGATATGTTTGTGCCGTGGGTCTGGTTGTTACCCTCAGACAGACTGGTGTCAAAGAAGGCTTTTAATGTGGGCCTCCCTCTTCCCAGTCCTGACAACCGGTCTCTCACTGTGCTTGCTGTTTGGGGCAGGAAGTTTCTGTCCTTCCACACTTTTCTGAAGAGACAGAGTCTCATAAAGCAATGTGGGAAACCTCACCGGCCTCTGGTGTTTTATCACAACATGATGGACCCGTTGTGACAACCAGGGTCCACTTTTGGTGGCAGGCAACAGAAACAGGCACAGTCTGGGAAAGAAAAGGGAATTGATGAAATGACTAGGGTGTTTAAAAGCCCACAGAAAGATCGGGCAGGCGAGGCTTAGTGCTAGCCAGCCTGCAGCGGTGCCCCAAACCCGCTTCAGAACAGCCTGCTGAGGTTGCTGGTTGCTGCCACAGAGCCCTGCATCTGAGAGCCTCCGCAGCTCCCCAGTGTCTGAGGCCTCCATGGTCTCCCCTGGTGCCTTCAATGGGGGGTCCCAGGCCCCCACCTGCACTTTACCTGGAAGGGAGCTGGGGAAGCAGGTGTGCGGCCTGGTCACTTCTGGGACACTACTGCACACCTTGGCACCATCCAGTGTGATCTCCCACTCACAAGGAGGGGTCGGAACCTAAGGAGCTGGAAAGAGTGGAAAATGTCCACTCACTAAGAGCCTCCCACTGGAGAGCACTGGAAAAAGCCAGACGCTATGAAACAGCCCACACTCAGCAAGAACAAGCAGTCTGCAGGCCAGTGCCCCCACATGGTGCTGGTGGCCCTGTGGGCCGGTGGGTCTTCGTGCTGGGGGCTGGTGTGGGCGCTCCAGGGGGTCAGCAGCATCCCTGCTCTCTCCCCACTAGGTCCAGCCCAGTAGTGACAATCAGACATCCCGCTGACACTGCAAATCATCTCCTGCAGGGACGACTCCCCGCCCTGCAAATGAGAATCACTGGTCTGACTGACGGCTCTCTCCTTCTGGGAAGACATCCGGGATAGAAACCCTGTTACAGACCGATGAATTAGATTTAACAGGATCCTAGTAACTACATAATCTGACTCTGATTCTGAATTTCATCTGGAAAAATAAACATTAGAGAACAGCCAGGAAAAGCCTGAGAGTGAATCATAATGGAGTAGAGTGAAGTACACCACATACCACCACGTATTCTAAAGCCTGAGTCATTTCAGCGGCTGGGGGAGCTGCCTGAGAGGGAGCACAGCACAGCACAGCATCCTCCTTGTGGCTCCAGCCAATGGTCCTCAGGCTCCTTAGCGTGTCACACAGCTGTTCAAAGCATCTCAAAAGCTTCCCCCTTCACTGAGTAAAACCCAACATTCTTAAAATGACTTTGAAGGCCCTATACAATCTG